CAGTTAGCCAGCTGGCTTTGGTCATTGACTAATAAAGAGGGTACAGCATCATAGAAAATAGAATATTGCGATTTTCCTCCCAGAAAATCCTGCCTCCTTCAAGTTATATTTAATGAATTCAGTGGTTCTATAAAGTTATTTTTAGAAATCTGAGAAGTAATGCTTGTTGTTTAGTGCTGCATATTTCAAGATCAAAATGTTCTAATCTGTAAATTATTGGAACAGAGGTTGTATGTTGCCTTATGGGTAACTTATTAATGTATTTTCACTTTTTGTAAGTATAATTATTTTTTTCTAGAAAGGCATGTACACTAGAGGAAATAATGGTCTTCATGCTTTATTATGTATAGACAGGAAAGACTAATGAATAAAACTATTAAATGTTTCTGGGCTTGACAATGCTGACATGAAAAATTAACATCTGAGGAGCTAAATATGTGAACTTTACATACTTTTACTTAAGTTTGATTAGTTTTCATATTTCATTGTGGATCTCTACTTATGTTGTACTTAACAATGCAGGACTGTGGTTTATGCAGAAGTGGAAGAAGTCTGGTTCTTTATTGCAATTGACGTGTCGAGACCATTCAGATCCACGACAAACCTTCTTATACAAACTTAGTAAAAAAGCAGGTAAGCTTTGCTGATACTTACTGTCTTTTAAAGGCCACTGTACATAAATATGAATAGGAAACCTAGAAAAAAAATTCAGAAAAGCTCCTGTTTCAGTTTATATGAGAGTTACTGTGGGTTTAGTCCCATATTCTTCAAGTAAAATAAACAATAAACCATTTTTGTTGCAGAGATGAACCATTGGTTTGATACTTTCCTTCCTAACTAATGAGCAGAAGTTCTGAGTGCAGCCACTATGCTGGCATAGATATGTATGTGTGCATGCATGTGTGTATATATGTATCTCTATATCAGCTGCTTCTTGAGCCAGTGAAGCTAGTGATTTCATTGTGAGAAGTCAAGTACATACACCTCTTTCTGTATCTATTTTTCTTACCTATTCTATAAATGTAAAGTTCTGCTTTAAAGTTTTTGCTAACCTGTCTTTTATTTCCTCATACCATATCATTCATACAGTTTTCTTTGGTTTGAGTAACAGTTGGACTTGATGATCTTAAAGGTCTTTTCCAACCAAAACGATTCTGTGATTCTATGGATATTCTTAATTCAAGTGGTGGCTGAGAGCCAGTTTTGGCAGTGAAGAATGTGCCAGTTGGGGGGTAGTTTCTATTAAACATTACAAAGTTATTGAAGATTCATCTGACAGGTCTTTCTAAATGTGTGTCAAGCAAGCAGTTGTGGGCCAGAGATGGTCATGGTGTTTTGTGAAAAATCTGAGCATGTTTCTCTATCAAAATACTTGTAGAGTGTCACAGATTTAATTTTGTTGAGAGCAAAGTGGTACAAAGATATGGGCAGAAAAAGACTGACATCCAGCTCTTGAGAATATAAAACTTACAGGACTTGGAAGAAGCAGAAAAGAATAAGGAGCAAGAAAAAAAAAATCATAGATAAGACAGAATGTTGATCAAAACCTGATTTTAGAAAAACTTGGGATTTTTTTCCCCTTCTGTTCAAAATCTACTATGACAAAATGATTTTGTTGCTGATAAGGTGATATTTAAGGCTGAACTGGTATTTAAAGGTGAACTGCAAAGTTAAACATTATTGGAACAACAGGATAACCATCAACTGAAGTACTCTCAATGTAGCTTTTCAGTCTTCTGAAAATAAATATTTGATCCTAAGCAGAAGTTATACAGTGGATGCTGGGTAAGATTGTGGGACATGTGTTATAGAGATCATCAGACTAATTAATCAGTTTGCTTTAAAGAGTTTGCTATTCCTTAGTTTGGTGTGTATATATCTCAACACAACTAGAGACACTTTATTTATATATTGTTGTCGGTTCTAGAAATACAACATATTTTCTGTCCTGCCATCTCTTTGTTCATTCAGTGGGTATACGGTATTGTCTGTGCTTGAGTCTCAAACACCAGCTGAGAGGAGTTTGGGATTCCCCTAACTGTACAGTTTCTCTTCAGATTTTTGATCCAGAGAATTTGCATACTGTTCTCTGTAGGGATTCTAAACATAGGTGTTTCCAGAAATTACTTTACCCCAGGCTATATGCAAGAGATTGACAACACTGTTGAGAAGTATAGCCCTGATCTTGCAACTTCTCTTGATTTTTGTAACTTTATATGAAAACAGGAGTCTTAAGATGCAGAAATATCTGTTGCTGCTTAATGGTGTCTTCTTCAGATGCTGGCTTTGCAGCTGGGAAACTCCCTAAGGCAGCAAAACTTGCTACTATTTGGACTCTGCTGTGGTCCAATTGGTTTTGAGATTATCCCTAAAAGTGGCTGTGGATCGGCAGGTGATGTTTTGAGTGTGTAGGTCTCAACCACGTGGCTTGTGGCTGTAGTTCTCAAATTTGGCCAGAGGACATCTCTGTTAAACACATTGTCTTGTTGCTTACCTCCAAAATGGATGAATTTCCTAATTTCTGTCGAGTATTGTAGGTGAAAGTACAGTTGAGCATTTCCTTTTCCACCCTTAAAAAAACTCCAGTAAATACTGATGCTTAGCACCGTTCAGACACAATAGAACTGTGCTCATACCTGTTCTCTGGTTTTAGTCCTGGAGCAGGACCAGTTAATACCAGAAATTTCGCCGTCATGAACACATTTCTGATAAGTCTTTCTCAGTGCTGTTTCTGTCATAGAGTCACAGAACAGTAGGGGTTGGAAGGGACCTCTGGAGATCATCTAGTCCAACCCCCCTGCTAAAGCAGGATCACCCAGAGCAGGTTGCACAGGATTGCGTCCAGGCGAGTTTTGAGTATCTCTAGAGAAGGAGACACCACAACCTCTCTGGGCAGCCTGTTCCAGTGCTCGGTCACCCTCAAAGTAAAGAACTTTTTCCTCATGTTCAGATGGAACTTCTATCACAACGATGCATCTAGGAGGATCTATGACAAACATTTTTACCAATCTTGCTTGTTCCTCTCCATTTGGGGCCCGGTTGGGCTTCATGGCTGGACATCACCTCAGGCTCTTGGATCACATAGAAGCAACACCAGTCAGTTTCTCTGCTGCTGCCAAAATTTGTGAGCTCTTTCTCTTCCCAGAGATCCCTCTTAGAAGAATCTGTTCTGGAAGTTTTAATGCTTTAATGCAGAGAGCTTACGGAGTATTCTATCAGAAGCAGATTTTATACGTGACTGCAAAAAGAATTGAGTCTTCTGAGTTTATGTAAAATTCTCACCTCACAATAGGTTCAGACCTTTTAAAGAACCTTTGCAACTGAAAAATGAAACTGAAAAATTATAAATATATCATGAATAAATCCCTCCCATCTACATCATGCAGCTCTTCCTTAGTACAGTGTAAGTCAGCCTGTCATTACTTGCTGAAGGAATAGTTACCCAGAACTTGCTCTTTTTAGGTTCTCTACCTCAGTTTTCCTTTACTGTAAAAATCTTTTAATAGGATTTTTTAAAGCATCCAGTAAGAAACAACTAGATTTTCCTAAGTTACAGTTGTTACAGTGCTGCTATTTGTGTATTTTATTTCATCCTTTGATAGCAGTGAATGATAATTACCCAGTTCTGAGGTAAAAGCTGAAACTGTGACATATATGTGGTTCATACTCAAGCAGTAGAGTATTTAGACTTATTATCATTAGTCATGGTCTGATTTTTTTTGTTTGTTTTAAAAATAGCTGGGGCCAAGTCAAGTTGGTTATTTTCCAGAAAACTTGGCATAAATTGGTTAATATGCTATGTTGTGCCTGGTAGATATAACTATGTGATTCATAGTTATAATAGTGATTCATCTAAGTGACAAAATTTTCATTAAAAATTGTTGTTGTCATTAATTGATGTTAATATTCTTAAATGAAAAGGAAATGCATTCACCTAACCACAGATATCTGTGATTTAGAATGTGATCATTTGGTTGTTCTTTTAGAAGTGTATCTGGATAAGAGTTTTGTTTGCAGAATTTCCTCAGATCTAATATTGGAGATACAGTTAGCTCTCAGTTAGCAAGTGAACTCTGGGAACATTTCAATTTCATTTTCAAGTAATTTGTCAAGGCAGAATGACAGATAACTTGTTTTAGCAATTCTCTTTATCTGTTTCTGGTGTATAAACAGGAATTGATTATTAAAATTGTAAATGTCTTTTGAAATGATTGATTCAATAAATTACAGCAAATGACAAGTGGTGATGATGATTAACTGTCTGCTGTTCTAAGTCTCTGTTTTTCTGTGGCATCGTATGTGGCTTGTCTGTCAACTAGTTTTGCTTTTATGCGCTTCATAGAGTGTTACAGTTGTAGAATGTTTTTTAAAAGTCAAGTAGAACTCATTCATTGCCCAGCTATCAAGTTTGTTAAAGCAGAAGGAGTGACTTTAAAAAGTTAACTTATTCAAGCAACCTTAAAAAGCCCACTTGTATGTTATCTTCAAGTTTAAGAATTACAAAACCAGTAATTTTTCAGGCCATGTAATAGGTTACCCTATGAAAAGAAATCTTTATTTCAGAGAATAATAGCAGGTTGTGGGAAGAAATTGAGACTTTTTTCTGATTGGATTGTTGTTTTTGTAAAAAAAATTGGATGTTTTCTTTCTGGACTTGACCATTCAAAAGTCTAATAAGTTAGAGCTATTTTCTGTCTTACAATTATTGACATTGCTAATTGCTGATAAGCAGCAAAAGCTGACCTTATTTGCTTATAAGGAACAAAAGGTAATATGATTATTTATGCAAAATGAAGAGAGTTAAAGTTTATGCTATTTCTTGAATTTTAAGTTACTTTAAGCACTGGTCACTTTTATGTTGGCAGTTGAGAGGTTTATATTGTCTTTAACCCAGTAGAGAATGTAGTTTTCTGACATTGCTTCTTCATAATGATAATGTTTAGAATTGTGTTCTTTGACAATAATATCCTTGAAATCTGCTTGTCATGTCTTCAGCAGCTGCAGTCTGTCTGGTAATTTCTGGGGGCCTTGGAAATGATTGTTGATTTCATACTGTGACAAACACCAGGTTGCCAGCTATGAGGACGTGTTCAATACAACACAATTGTTGTTGCATAGATGAATGTTGCATGAAAAATTCTGCATTATGTGTAGTGTTTCATGTTGTAGTATTAAAGATTCAACAAAAAATAATTTAATTTTTTTTGATATTAACTTGATAAGAAGAAGATTTTTAGACACAAAAATAAAAAATATATGGTCATCTATTTTCTGATTGCTTGGATTTTAGATGTTAGTATGGTCTATCCACGTAGCAGAAATGGGTACTTTTTGTAACTGAGCAGTTGACATTTGCCATAAAACTTACAAAATGATAATTATGCAGACCTGTCCTCAAAGGGATAATGGAGAATGAGTTAAGTATTATTAGAAACTAGTGCAGGAATGAGTTGAGCAGCAGAGCACCATGTAGGGATTCAGTGACAAGTTTTGGAATTTGCACAGCTCCTGATTTCTGTTTCCACTTAATCAATTGGTTATGCTTAAGTATTTTCTACAAGTGATAACTACACCTTCATGTTTACTTTCTAACATCAAGTGTAAAAATCAGCGTATGAAATGCCAACTGTTTT